GGAAACTCGAGAAGAGAAACCCCAGTTGATCCCATTGTAGGTTAGGGCTTCTACATTGCAAATGGATGTTCAGAGCCGTACTAATGGATTTATTTACAGATAGCAGAAAATTCCTGTACACACATGGCAGCTGCTCCTCCCACTGACCGTGAAAGTAGGTGGGACAGGTGACCTGATGTCATATTTACAGAGAAAGCAGCGTCAGGTGCATTGGCCAGGAAGGGCTGCCTGGGAGGGTGCCATCCCCACCCCCTGAGCTGCCTTACTTTCCTCTGCGGTGGGTGCCACAGCTCACCACAGAAAAGTCAGGCAACGCTCGGGTGAGATATTCAAGCGTGGCAGATCCGTATGAAATCACAACCTGGAAGTGCTCGAGCACAATGAGGGTACATTTGGGACTCAAATCCCGAGTCTGAATTCTGGCTCCCCCTCACATCCATCTGTGCTTCTGGGAAGGTTGCTGGGTGCTTGTAGGCACCACTAAATCGTCTGGATTGGAAACTTTGTAGTCAATAGTGTTTGGAGGTGGGTGGGACTTTGAGCATGCCATTACTATCAGATGGGACCATGAAGTCCTCAGGATACAGTCAGTGGCTTTGTAACCGAAGAAGGTGTCCTGATGCCTGCCCTGTGCTACTGTTCAATAACACCCTTACCAGACAGATGGCTGGACCATGCTCATGGGTTATGCAGGCTCTAGATCTATGACGTGGTAAAACACACACACACACACACACACACACACACACACACACACACACACAGTCTGTCAACTACATCCAGCCTGTCTTCCAGTTGCTACCATGCATCCTTTTCCTGTATCTAGGCTGATGAGTGCAGCCCTCACCCCTCATTAAGGAAACTTCTCTTTGCAACAAAAGGAGACCATTACATAAAACAATGAAAATGCTGTTGTGTAGCCTAATCCCAGTTGATTCATCTAAAATACAGCTCCCATAACTAACTCTCGGGGGTCATAGCTGAAGAGGGATTGGAAAGACTGTATGAGCCAGAGGAACAGGGAGTCTGCTGAGAGACTGGGTTTTTTTTTGAATGTCAGAAGCTATACCCACGAAGTCTCACCAACATGACTGCTGAAACATGAGCTGAACAAGGACAGGACAGCAACAACAGACGTGCCGACTTGGACAGAAAAAGACCACAAGGCCCCAGCTCTGCACAAAGAACTACAAGCTGCTAAGGAATGCTGAAAAAGAAAAAGAAAAAAAGCTTTCCTCAGGGAAGAGCATACAAACTGGTTATCTAATTCTAAAGGATCAGCCCTGAAAATGTACATACAAGTATCAGTATACAGACCGAGCAGGTTTCATCTAGGACTTTATATGTATATATACATACATATATGTGTGTGTATATAATAACAATTAATGAAAAGAAAGGCCCGGCAAATTGAAAGAGAGCAGGGAGGAATATATGGAAAGGTTTGGAGGAAGGAGAGAAAAGGGGAAAATGATATGTTATAATCTCAAAAATAGAAGGACAAGTTGGCAAAACTCACTTAGGAAATTGGACAGCATTCACCTTTGTATAGTTAGGTCTGCTATTTGACAGGAAACTGCAAAATCATTTAAAGGAGTGTAGGCAACATAGCCGAGCAGCCCTGGCCACCAACTGTAGATTACCCGTATGAACTGCAAGTGAGTCTTCCCTGAAAAGATAGTATTTTTCCCATGATGACAACGCTGAAAGGTGGTGAGCTACTCTGTCATAATAGACATGACAGTCGCAAAACAGTGACTATGTCCTGGTTAGTTACTGTTGTCCACTAGACACATCCTAGAGTCACCTGGGAATCAGGAACGTCAGCTGCAGAACTGCCTCCCTTGCACTGGCCTTGCTCACGTCTCAGAGAGACCGTCTTGATTTATGATGGATTTGGGAGGGTCCAAGCCCACAGCGGGTGGCAGCATCCGGAGGCAGGGGGGTCTGAGCTGTATCAGAGAGCTATCTGAGCAAGCCAGTGAGGGAGTCCATGAGTACTTTGCCTCCTCCATTGTTTCTACTTGAGTCCCTGACTTCCTTTGATGGGTAAGCCAAAAACACCCTTTCTTCCCCAAGTTCCTTTTAGTTAGAGTGATTTATCACAGTAACAGAAAAGGAAACAAGCATAGTCAATATCTCCTTCTAGAATTTTGCTTTATTCCCCCTAGAATATTTAATTATTTTTTATCTTTTTAAATATTAATTAATTAATTAATTACAATGTACTCACTTTGTATCCCAGCTGTAGCCCCCTCCCTCATCTCTTCCCAGTCTCACCCCCCCTCCCTCTTTTCCTCCTATGCCCCTTCCTTAGTCCAATGATAGGGGAGGTCCTCCTCCCCTTCCATCTAACCCTAGCCTATCAGGTCTCTTTAGGGCTGGCTGTATCATGTCCTCTGTGGCCTGGTAAGGCTCGACCCCCAAGGGGAGGTGAACAAAGAGCTGGCCACTGAGTTCATGTCAGAGACAGCCCATGTTCCCCTTACTAGGGTATATTTAATTTTCTTAACACGGTAGTTATTATGGCTCTGTGGATATAGTCCTTTCCATGTACATCCATCCTCCTACATGTTCACATGCAGACACGCACCTACACACAAGCACACACACAGCTCATCAGCTAACTCTAACGTAGAAAATTGTTCTTTGTAAATGACTTGTCCTTTGGTAGGAGAAATTTCTTAGGGAGGTGAGAAAACAAGTTTGGCCTCAGAACAAAGAACTGCAGGTAAAGGACTGACTAAAGCAGTTTAATTATTTTGAGTTGCCTCAGGCCATCAGAGACTTTTCCTCAGTTCCTATGCCTTTCATCTTCATTGACATTCCACTAAATAATAACACTGCCTTTGATTTAGAGAACACCTCTAAAGCCCCAAAGGGAAGACTGTTTTCCTGAGGACACTGAGTTGAGTACTCTGTTATCAAAGGCTTGCCTCGTGTGCCCTGAAGACTTCCATTCCTAGGTTCTTTTCTGATAATCAAACTGAATAACGTTTTTTTTTACTATTATTTTTTTAAAGTAATTGCTCAAATATGTTATAAATGTTTCAGCTACTCATTCATTTGAGGGATATTACTTAATCACTGTTTGACTAGAGGTAAAGTTAATTTTCCCTTTGTTTCATTTCCACATTTGGAGTTGTCATAAGTTCTCATACTACTTGTTTTGGGAACTCCACAAGCTAGGCTGTGGAGCTACATACCATCTCAAATGTCAAAAAGAAGAATTTCAGCCCCTACCATCCTTTCTCTTAGCTGCCTTATTCCCTGTCATGAAGTAGGACTCACCTAACCCAGGGTACAAGGCTGGAAAAGGAAAAAAAAAAATTGAAAACAGACTATATTTCTCTTAGTCTCCTTTTCACTCTATATGGAAATGATAGCAATAGCTCCACAGGACCGCTAGGCAGTGACACCCGCCCTGCAGAGACTGTGCAAGCAATAAATGGCTGGAGTCAGCCTCGCTTGCTCTCTGACCATCAGTGAAATCTGGCCCTGGCCCTCTCCAGCTTAGGCCCTTTATTTACTTTCATAGCTTTCCAGGAGGTTTGCCAGGACCCTGCAAAGGTTTGATCTCATCATTGTTGGCCTCCAGCTGAGCCCCAGCACTCTTGTGGCCTGTCATCCACCTCTACCCACTACTGGTTTTACGCTCTGTTTTTTTTTTTTTCCCACAATGCTCTGTTTGTTTTACTCAATCCTTATTCTTTGCTGTAAATTCCTCCTGGAGATCAACTGAGTTATCTTCATTGAATTCTTTTCCTTACCACACATTTCTCTGACCTGAACTCAGATCTCCTAGAAAGCAAGGACAGTGTCTGATTCTGTCAAGTCCAGTTCCAGTCAAGCATTTAGTAGGGCCCTAAATAAACGTTTGTGAAACACTCGAATAATGTGACTTAGGTGCACTTTTTTTTTTTTTTTATGAGCTACTTGTTTAAAATGTTAGTTATTGTGACCTTGAAAAAAATTCACTGTGAATACTTGTCATTTGGGAAATAGCAGTTCTCTTTAGGGAGAAGCTTACATTTCAGAAAAATGAAGTGTCCATTGGCAGAAAAGCACAGGGGACCAATGACTGTACTCTTCTCTTCAATGTTGTCCTCAACTGCACTGTGAGGCCACCAATTTATCTTATGATGCGGACAACCTCAAACTGTTGAAAACTGTACCCCAAGATGAAATTTTGATGATGTTTTTATGAAAGGAAAGGTTTTAGTCATTTAGAGGAATCAGAGTTTCCATAAATCACAGTTACTAAGCAGAAATGAAGCAACTGCTCAGCCCAATGTTTTCTTCCTAAGCAAATGCTGACCTATGTATAAAACCCTTTTATAGGTGACAATAACTTTTTCCTTTGTTTTTAATTGCTTAGTCTAACAAATTGGCTAATTCATTATATTTAAAAGTTCATAAACCATTTTTATTCCCAATACGAGATTTAATGAGCATTCTGAATCAGAACCATTGCTGAGTGTAGATGCTAATACTTAAAATACCCACGTACTTCCCCAAACCACAATAAACTGACACCTGTGGAGCAGAAAATTCGACATCCTTTTCTGTGGTCATATGTTTAACCTTCTGACTCTTCAGTGAACGTATCTCTCAGTCATTGGCCAACTTAGTATGTGTGGCTTCATCATCTAAATTCTTTCTCAGAGGCCCTTGTCTTGAAGCCACGTGAAATGCTGAGAAAGGACAGAAAGGCTTCTCCTTGCCTGTTAGCCCGCCCTCACTCTGTTCTTCCAAACACATATTAATTACTGAAATTTTTATAAAGTGGTCTCTGTTTTGCCACAAAAAGGACAAGAAAAATCAACAGCTGACTCCTGCCCAATTCAACGCACGCCCTCTTAGTCTTTTGTAATCAATATTAATCAAGTCCAATGCACTGCTGCTAGCCAAGCTGCCTACGTAGATGAAGGGAAATAAAATGAAAGCAGTGGAAGCGGGCGTGTTTATTTTTGCCATGTGACCATAGCCTGTTTACTCACCGGCGGTCCCGGAGGCCCTGGGTTTCCTGGGGGTCCCGTTTTCCCTCGCCTTCCCTTGAAACCAAAAGAAAACAGATTGAGTATTGTGGTTTAATTTCATTTCAATTCAACAATACTTAGCAGCCTGGAAGACAGAAAAGAAAAGTTGAAGAACAACTTCAGGTCCACTTGGCTCTTGAATATCAATGAATTTTGAAGCTGAGAGCCAGTTCTCCATGACCACAGTGGGAAAACACCCCTAAGATGAACAGATTCTAACCGCTGTCCGGGGCCTATCTTGACACTCCAGCAAAGTCAGGACAGTGAGTGAAAGAGGATTTCGGATCAGCGTTTTGTCTGATGACTCTGCGGTTTCATTTCAAATAAAAAGTGCAATTTAGATGAAATATTTTTTTTTTCCTCCAGGGGCTGGAAAGATGGTTCAGTGGTTAAGAGCCCAGGCTGCTCTTTGAGAAGACCCAGGTCCCTTTTCCAACATTCACAACCACAGGGGACAACCACAGGATCTGTCGCCCTCTGCCGGCCTCTATGGGCACTGCCGGTACATGGCTCACTTCCGTGCAAACACTCAGACACATAAAACACAAATAAATAATCTCAAGAAAAAAAACTTCAAACAGGGTCTGAATTCTAATTTTATAGGCGGCACACAAGGACAGCATTGGTTAGTTAAGAAACCGCTTAAGAATCCCAGGGGCTGGGAGCCATAAATTTGTACTTCAGAATTACTTCTGGTAATTCTTAACGTTTGAAAAGCAATGCATTGTTAAAATGATACACTCTACCTATAGAATACGAACTAGCTCTTTTCTTCTGTCTGGATAAGTGAACCAAATGTACAATTTTTACATGTTAATCATTATTGTATCTCAGTGCTAACAGACCCAAATAGATAACCACCAGGATTAAAATTGCAGGGGCCACAAACACAGGCTTGTGCTAATGTGCTTAAGAAACTACGTGTCTAATATTGTGTTAAAGAGTTTAGTTGCCATGATTATTTTTAATTTTATTTACTGCTCTTGTACGCATGTGTGTCAGGGTACATAGCCATGGTGCCAGCGTACAGGTCAGACTGTAACTTCTGGGGTCAGGTCTCCCTCTCCTCTTCACACATGGCTTCCTGGGTACCCACTGGATCAGCCCTAGTTATTTGTTTTTTGTTTTTCTTCTGTTTGTTTGCCAGTCAGTGTTTCTCTGTATGACAGTCCTGGCTATCCTGGAACTTGCTTTGCAGACCAGGCTGGCCTCAAACTCACAGAGCTCCACCTGTCTCTGACTCCCAAATGTTAGGAATAAAGGTGTGTTACCACCATGCCTGGTCCCAGTCATTTGTTACAACCATTTTCTTAACCATTTTCGTCTCCCCAAAAAGAAGGAAAATAAGTTTGAGTTTTAAATTATATGCTTGGAGTGAGGAATGTTTCTGAGCTTATGCTTTCTGAACAGCACGGTTCCATCCCATTGTTCCCACTAAGAACGTGATAATGGCACTGATACCATACTTATACATATCATGGCTCAGTGATCATGACACCTAAGAAGTAAAAAGCATTAGGTCAATCTTTTCAAGCTTTTGAGTTGTAAGCTTAAGTACAGAAAGGCCCATTTCATTCACTAATTTTATTTAGGCTTGAAGTTGGGGAGAAAGTCTAAATCCCAGGTAGATCTGTAAGTTAAGCTTTGAGAGATGAGCAAACAAGCATTAAGTTGTGATTGTGCAGATACCTGTGCCCACTGCTATGAGAGAAAAGTAAAGCACAGACTGTTAAGGTCTTTCTACGATGGCTGTTTCACTCATGAACTCACAGCAGCTGTGGATACCTGTGAAAGACCCGCAGGAGATTTGGCTGTCAATGTTCCCTTGTGAGTAGAGGAAGACCTCAGGAGGTCCCAGCCCTCAGGAAGAAGCAGCTTAATGGCTGCTGAGTCGGTATGTTTCCTTCAGTGAACTGGTAAGTTGCCCAAACTTCCACAGCCATGCTTATCCATGCCTTATACACCAACTCTAATTAAATCCAATGGGTGACCCCTCTCCCTCCCTCTCTCTCTCTCTTTCTTTCTAAGAGATGAACGTAGAAGGAGGATTGGTTGGGAAAATCAGTTCTGAGGGAAGTGTGGAGAAAACATAATGATGGAAAACATTATCAAAACACATTATAGATATACATAAGATTGCCAAAGGACAAATAATACCCACCCTTTCTATAAATACTCCTAAGTTCACCTCCACAGAACAAAAAAAAAGTTAAATTACAAAAGCAATACGATTAGTGGTGTTTTCATATGCTGCCTATTTAAGCGATGTAAACTTTGGCTTTCTTTAGGGGACTGTAAGGTGAGAATGAATGTGTAATGTTATATTTTGTGTATTTAGTACTTATTTTACATGCATACATCTTCTAGTCTTGCAGTATATATTTTCTGAAAGTCAATATATTTGATTTTTACTAAATGCAAGTCAATTGCCTTTGAGGACTAAGCATGAGTAAAGAGTTCACTTCGAAGTAGGCGCATTATAATTCACTAATTTGCAGGAGTACTAGAAATGAAGTCAAAGGCATCTAAGCAGCTGATCCAGCCCTTCTGCAAGTGTAGGTTGAGTTAAAAATATGGGATCAGGTTTGCTTACATTCCTCTTTCTTCAAGAGAAAAATGAGTAGCCGTTTGGGCTGGAAGTGAGGAAAATGAGGCTATTGATCAATTTTTATCACCGAGTTTATGTTAAGACAAACCAAGTGTCAGCCAGCATAACACAACACTGATGTGAGCTCTGTGTCCAGGTCTCTGTACGGCGAGGGCAACGATCCAGCCTCCCTCCTTTCTCCACTGATTTACATGATCTATTACATTAGCCTCGTCAGAGACCCACTGAGCGTGCTCCAAGAACGCAGAGAGGGCCGATTTGCTCATACATCCTTCCTAAGCGCGGACAAGCAAGTAAGATATTTGTGAAGATTGTAAATGAAAAGGGACATATTTGTGAGGGTAACTTCGGCCAGCACATATTTCCAGCTTAGGGCCTGAGTGTCTAGTAACTCCCAGAAGTATATTTGAACAATTTTAAGTGTGTGCTTTACAGAGCAATGCTTTTTTTTTTTTTTTTTTTCTTTCAGCTGCGTTACACAAAACACAGGGAACAGGCAAGACCTTGGGATTTCGGGTATCAGTGCCCTGCAGAGGGCACCCTGGCACAGGGCAGACAGAACCTTGAGGGAAGCTTTAGAGCAAGAAAGAGATATTGGGTCAATAATTTCTAAGGACATTAATAGTTCCCTTTCATTCCCAGACAATGTCTTTCTTCCTTCTAAGAAGGTCCAGGGACTCTCTCTCCCTCTCCTTATTTTTCCCTCTGTAAGGCCATGGCTCCTTTCACACCAGTTGAATGCACCATTTCCTGTCCTTCTATAAGGTCTCTCTTTGCATTTAAAACCATTAAGGGAAGAGCTAAGCATTTTTTTTTTTTTGTACTGCATTTGTATTACTTTATTGCTAATCATTTAGCCAACAAAATAGACACAGGCCTCTCTTCTTTATATTAAGACTAAAATCAGATTTCTCCGTTGTCTCTAGAGCAGTGGTTCATAACCTGTGTGTCACGGGTGGAACAGCCATTTTACAGGGGTCGCCTGGGACCACTGGAAAACACAGATATTTACATTACAGTTCATAACTCTAGCAGAATTACAGTTATGAATTAGCAACAAAATTAGTTTTATGGGACTGAATTAAAGGGCAGCAGCGGTTAAGAAGGTTGGGGACCAGTGATCTAGAGCAAAGTGTAATCTCTAAATCATGTTTTTGTTCACAAGGCTCTGCAGCACTGGCTGGGGACACATGGGCCTTGGAGGTGGGGGCTGGAGGTGGGAGGATCGGGGAGAAATCTGTGATGTTGGTGGAGGGATGTCTGCCTCTGTGCCTGTCCCCTCCTGTTCCTGTCCTTTCATCTCAAGGCTCATTGCAAGTCCATTGTAAAGCTGGGCTTGAATATTTACGAGGGGTATCTTGCAGCCAACTCAGACAACTGCTGATCTAGGAAAGACTGTGCTAGTTAGGGTAGATGCTGTTCAGAAGCAACTCTGGTAAATCTCATTTTACAAACTACCCAACCCAGCAAGATCTACCATTCCTTTCTTATTATGATCAAACTAATCTAACACCTTCCTGAAAACCAAAGTAGAAAGCATAAAATCATAGATTTACTCCAAATGGTTACCTTGGAAACCTCAAAGAGGTTTTTGTTGTTGTTTGGCAACAGTAAGAAGATTTTTGAACTACAGTTTAGACTTCTACCTAATGATCTAAGTCTAATGTTTGCTCAAACCTGGAAGGTCAGTTAGCATGGATGGTCTTCTCCACCTTACACCAGTTTCCAAAGTGAGGGTCTCAGATCTGGAAATTAGCATCCCCAATAAACCCTATAGAGCCCACAAGTCTTATAAATGTAGCCCAAATAAAGTAGTTCAATTGGTTGACTGATTCTGTGAAGCTGGAAATGATCATTGTCAAATTCAGAAGCAGCGAGGCTGGGCTGGCTGTCTCTTTTCTCATAGAAGCATGTGTGTGTGATTACTTGTAAAATTCCCACCATGCACATTGAGTAGAAAAGCTACATTTCAAAGCGCGCGCGCGCGCGCGCGCGCACACACACACACACACACACACACACACACACACACACACACACCAGAAAATAACAAGTGAAGTGTTGACACGGATATGGGGAAATGAGCATTTATAGCCTGCTGATAGGACTGCCAAATAGTGCCATGACTGCATAAAATATTATGGAGCTCCTCTGTAAATTGAAAATATAACTGCCATTTGATCTTCTGGGAATATACCCCAGTACATACTTCTTGGAACTGAAAGGGTTGCAGGGGCTCATGGGCTGCTCTGGATGGAAGCATCAATCCTTGGCTTGAACCCACAGGTGACACATACGCAACTCAAAGCAGGACGAAAGCCTGGTGACTCTGCCCCTATACATGACCTGTGTCCTTTGCTGACTCTTGTCTCTCTGTTCAGCTATTTACGCAGGCATGTCAATCATG